GGTGAAGAATAAACTTCCAGCATCCTTTCTGCACCCCTTCCTATCTCTCCTTGTCCTTCCACACTTTGTTCCAGCAACACCAGTTCCTCAGATGCATCTATTGCCACACCTCCAGACCCCTGCATAGACGGCACTCTTAACTGAGTCTGTCCTTTCCCCMCTACTTTCTCCTCTGTGAACTTCTCAGACTCCCTTCTTCAAGGAAGAATAAATCCCATAATTCTTCACACTCACCCACTATAGGGCCACTTACAGGATATTACACTTACTCGTGTCCAAGCCCCTCTCCTTCACTCTAAGCTTCTGGGGGCAAGAACTATGGGCTACTTACCTCCATACTGGCTCCAGACAGGGGTGCTCTGGAACTGTGTACTGGTGGGGACACGCTGAGAGCTGAGCTCACACAGAACCCACCCAGGATAGGCTCCTGCCTGCTTTGACACTGTGCCCCAGATTTCCCAAACCAAAGAAATGAGAATTGAATATGAGAGATTACTTCAATGTTTATTTAAGGACATGCTTTTTTACCTCAGGAAAAAAAAATACAAAATTCCTTTTGTAAAATTCATCCAAATAAATTATCGAAGTCCCATGTACTACAAAASACACCTGTAATTCTGGCTACTCAGGAGGCTGAGGCAGAAGGAGTTGGAAACCAATTTATTGAGACCCTATCTCTAAATAAAATAAAAAGGAACAGGGGTATAGCACGGAGGTAGAGCATTCCTGGGTTCAATCCCCAGTATTGGAAAACTTTTTTGAAAAAAAACTTTTCCAAATGGAATAGATGATGGCCATGTTGCCCAAACTGGTCTTAACTCCTGGACTCAAGCAATCCTCCTGCCTCAGCCTCCCAAGTAGTTAGGACTATAGGAATCTGCCATCACAGTTGGTCTTTTCTTTTTCTTCTTCTTCTTCTTTTTTTTTTTTTTTTTGTTTGTTTTGTTTGAGATGGGGTCCTGCTATGTTACCCAGGCTGGTTTTGAACTCCTAGTGTATTAGTTAGCTTCTTGTCTCTGCAACAAAATATCTGAGATAATCAAGTTTTTAAAAAATATTTTATTTTATTTGTTTATTGTTTTTTTTAATGTGGTGCTGAGGATCAAACCTAGGGCCTCACACGTGCTAGGCAAGAGCTCTACCGCTGAGCCCCAGCCCCACCCGATAATCAACTTTTAAGGAGGAAAGGTTTATTTTTGCTCACGGTTTCAGTCCGCGGTCACTTGGACCTGTTGCTGTGGTAGCACACCCCATCATGGCAGAAGCACAAGAAGGAGGATGTGTGTTCACCTCCAGGCAGCCAGGAAGCAAGGAGGAAGAGGAAGAGACCGGCATCCTAATATCCCCATCAAGGGCATCAAGTGACTTAACTTTCTTCTAATAGGCTGTACTTCCTAAAAGGTTCCACCACTTCCCAATAGTGCCACCAGCTGGGGGCCAATCCTTCAACCCACGGGTCTTTGGAGGACATTCCAGGTCCAAACTACAGTACCTGGGTTCAGGTGATTCTCCAGCCTCTGCTGCCTGAGGATTACAAGTGCATACCACTGAACCCAGCCTGGTGGGTTGATTTTTAAAAGCTTTTTCTTTTATTCCTTTTTATAATTTTATTTTTAGATTTAGAGAAAAGTTRGGCAGAAGGTACAGAGAATTCCAATATATCCTTCTTTTATTTATACAAGTATCAGCAAATAAAATATATTTTTGGTTTCTTTCCTTTCTTACACAATCAGCATACCATATGCACTGATCAGATCTTGATTTTTTTTCTACTTAATTTATCCTGAAGCTCTTTTGAAACAATACTTGGAAAGTATCCATGATCTTTTGTTTTAATTTTTTTTTAAAGAAAGAGAGAGAGAGAGAATTTTATTTTATTTTATTTTATTTTATTTTTTTAGTTTTCGGCGGACACAAAATCTTTGTATATGGTGCTGAGGATCGAACCTGGGCCACACGCATGCCAGGCGAGCGTGCTACCGCTTGAGCCACATCCCCAGCCCCTCTTTTGTTTTAATTATTGAACCATACTTTATTTTACCCATCCTCTGAAGATGGTCATTCAGTTTATTTTTAAAAAACAAAAGATTGACCAGGCATGGTACTGCATGCCTGTAATCTCAGTGGCTTAGGAGGCTGAGGCAGGAGGATCATAAGTTCAAGGCCAGCCTCAGCAATTTAGCTGAGGCCTTAAGCAACTTAGTGAGACCCTGTCTCAAAATAAAAAAGTAAAAAGGGTTGGGGATGTGACTCAGCGGTTAGGTGCCTCTGGGTTGAATCCCTGGTAACAAAAATAAAATAAAAAACAAAAGATTGGAAACAATGTAGTGATAAAAAACCTCATATGTCTGTTATTAGGTACATATATTGACTTATCATAGGACATGTCCCTAGAAGTGGGATTGCTGGACCAAGGGGGAGAGATGTCTATCATTGGATAGACAAAGCCAGATTGCCTCTCAGAGGACTGGACCACCGTGTATGCCACCAGCCACAAGTAACAACTGAAGCCCCTTTCAGYTTTAACAGTTCTGATTCTGTCTCCTGTCAGTCCCAGCCCAGGGGAGAACTTTGTAGGGAGCTTTTCTGAGACGGGGGCTCCTAGAATGGCCACAGCTGTGCCACACGCAAGAGAGCCCACACTAGATACCAATCGCTTTCTGGCAGAACTTCTAGGTTATTCTGCACAGRTGGTTTCTGAATTGTAGGAAATCAAAAAGCTTCCAAAGAGTCACATTTTCCTGGAAACCTACTCTCCTGCTGGGGTGACCGAGCCCCACAATCTGTGCTTGCCCGGCACCTGAAAGCGAAGCTCAGATTGGCTCTGTGGTCCAGTRTGGTTGTCACTTGTCTATTTACATCTCAAATGATGGAGGTGGGGGGTGTAGCTCAGTGGTAGARCACTTGCYTAGCATGCCCAAGGACTGGGCTCAATCCCCRGCACCACCAAATGTGTATACATGTATTTTTTTCAAACAATCAAAATAGGATAATATTTAAAATCCATTTCCTCAGACCCACTAACCACATTTAAAGTGCTCAATAGCCACAGGTCACTAGTGGATACCATCTTGGACAGGGCAGATAGAAAACATTTTTGTAGAACATTCTACTGGATTATACTGCACCAAAACAGTGACCCTTTGTATGCGGCTATTAAAAATGAAAAGAGGGTTGGCGTTTAGCTCAGTGGTAGAGCATGTGCTCAGCATATGCAAAAACCTAGATTCAACCCCCAGCACCATAAAAAAAAAAAGTACAGAAGAATGACAACTAAATGCCATCAGTGATCCTGGACTGGATCCTGGTCCAGAGAAAAGACACGAATGGCTCAACCAGCAAAATTTGGATCAGGTCTGATATTAGCAAATAGCATTGCACAGTGTTAATTTCCTGGTTTAAAAGAGTATACTGTAGTTACGTAAGACGTTAATATTTGGGAAAGCTGCTTGAAGGGTATTTGGAAATTCTTCATACTATTTCTGCAACTTTTTTGTAAGTCTGAAATTATTTCAAAATTTAAAAAGTTTTAAAACATAAAAATTATAAAATAAGGGCTGGGGTTGTGGCTCAGCATAGAGCACTCGCCTTAGCACATGCGAGGTGCTGGGTTCAATCCTCAGCACCACATAAAAATAAATAAATAAATAAAATAAAGGTATTGTGTCCAACTACAACTAAAACATATTTTAAAAATACTTTWAAAAAATTATACAATAAGAGGGGGAAATGAGCATGCACTTGTAAGGAGCCTCTGCCATAGACATGCCAGGCCAGGCTGGGACTCACTAAGTTGCTAGCTGTAAAGAACAGCAGCCACAGGCATGCTTAGTCACAACTGGACACAGTTGATAAGGACCATCATCTAGAGACAGGCAGAACAACACTGGAGCATGATAACAATGAGCACCAACTTGGAACTGCACATGAACTGCTTGTCCTGCCACATCAGAGAGCTTTGCTCTGAGGAATCAGTGAGACTGGCCACCTTGCTGTCCATCCATCCCCAGATGGAATCCACCATTCCCTGATGTCCAACCATCAGCTGGAGAGAACCACATCTGCTCTTCGGTTAAGAGAAGTTGYGTGGCATCAGAGGTACTTTGGGGCTCGAGGTTGTCCTAGTATTGTGTGATGTGCTTGTTGTGTTAATTAGTGTGCATTAGATGCTAGTTAGGGTGCTCCAGCATACCCAACACTTTTTGCATTAATTGTTTRTGTTTGATGATTGGTGTGATCGAATATACGCTTGCATTTAAAGACAATACACCTCTGAGTAATTATTAATAGCGCCACTCACAACAGCACCCCTCTTGTCCAAATATACAAATAAATTTGTAACTACAGGTAGGTGTGGGACAAGCGTGCCATTCTTAAAAACCAGTGAACAAAACAGGCGTGGTAACACGCACCTGTAATCCTAGCTGCTGAGGCTAAAGCAGGAGGATCACAACTTTGAGGCCAGCCTCAGTAATTTAGTGACACCTTGTCTCAAAATAAAAAGCTATTGGGAATGTAGCTYAGTGGTAGAGAGCCCCTGGGTTCTATCTCAGTACAGTAAAACACAAGCACACACTAACAGTGAACAAATTAAGAAGAGTTCATTTTGAAAGAGACAGATGGAGCCCTTTCCCCGGGTTGGGTGGGAGGCCTGCTGGGTTTGACAACAGGCCCCATCATCTGATTAGTGGTGTGACTTGGGCAAGTAGCTACTCCTCCCTGGGCCTCAGTGTTCTATCTGTAAAGATGTCCCTTGAATAGCAGGGAAGAGACTGTGAGTGTYCAAGATAATGGAGGTGAAAATGAGCAAAGAGCCAACGGACCTGGCACGGGATCACCTGCAAAACCTAGAACAGGCCTCTGGACCAGTCCTCCCAAAAAGGATTATAAGCATTTGCCTGCTGGTGTCTGCTCACTACGCACTTCAGTAGAAAYAGTTGTGGGTCTGTTAACAGTGGTCATTTGAAAAGCACTTAAGGGTTGGTCATCTTCTGTTCAGGTGGCCCCTGATTACATGGCTGTGCACCTCCTGGGGGCCTTCGGCTCAGCATTTGCTTTCTTCCTAATACTCTCTGCAAAACACAAGAATCTTATGGCTTCGGTTCTACCCTCCAGGGCAGGTTTTATATTTTAATTTCCTGCCAGACTTGGTGCTAAGAAAAGGTACAACAATTTTATATGAGAATATTTTGGAAAAAGATAAAAGCCATCCCTAATTCCTCCACAAATAATGCTCTGCTTTCCCACCTTGCCTATGGCAGCCACGGGTCAGCCAGCAGTGTTAGACATTACACATGACATGACAGCAGTCAGACATTACAGTGTTTAAAACTTTTTTGTCGTGAGCTGATTTTGTTTTTTAATGAGGAATTAGTGCCAGACCTTTTATCCTCCTGGCCTGAAGGTCCCACGGGACTCTCTGAGTCCCAAATCAGGATTTTGGGATTGGCATGATTAAGGAGGTTGTGGTGACCTCAGAAGTTTTATTTTCCAGAGCTGACTGGTTCAACTCCTATTAAGCCGGTTGGGTTCTCAAGTCTTATTTTGTGAAAAAGAAGTCTRAAGGCTGTTCTAGACTTATTCCAAACTAGGGGCGAAATTCARGGCATGGAGGGTTGGCAAGGGAGAGATTATAGGGGGCTGTGAAAATCAGAGGGTTCGTTTAGGCCGCCCACCCTCACTACGGGATGGAGAAACCAGGGCCAAGGGGCACTGCGATTTGCCCAAGGCTCCTTCTGGGTTTGAGGAGGAAGGAGGGCTAGGACTAGGAATCTGGAAGATTCGGTTAGCATCACAGCTTTCTGGTSTGAGCAGCCCCTTGGGGCTGGGCCACATTCCAGCTAGGGGCACACAGCTTGTGAGCCCAACTCTTACCAGCCAGGTCCCTCCTGCCAATGGCCACCAGGCCCTCGAACAGCGCTTTACTGGGATTCTCACCAGCCATGACCACGCCATGCAGCCAGATGAGCAGCATCCTGTGGCCATGCTCCTGATAGCTCCTGGTGCCTGAGGATGACAAGGGAAGAGAGAGGAGCCATCCATGTCTATGTGGCCTTCTGTAGCCTCCTGAGCATGCCCAGCTACAAAAGAGGCCAAGGACCACCTCAGGCCTCTCTAGCAGGCTCAGCCCAGAGGTGGCTGGGGGTGGGGAGGAGCCGCATCTCAGATGGGGTGGTGTCAGAGTTTGTATCTCAGGGACCTAGAACATCCCTAGTCCCAGGCTTTCTCCTGAGCATCCGCTACACAACCTGTCAGTGTCACTCTGAAGAAAGAAATAAATGGCATATGTCCCTACGGTAGCAGGATGCACACAATTATGAGCCTCATCTCTTTGACTGGTCACAATCTGTGCCTTGCATGCTAGTGGCCCTGTTTTCCAGTGAGAAGAGGGCTTACTGAGAGGCAGAGCTGGCCATGTTCTTTTCCCTACACTAGATGTTCTCAGCCTTACCTGCTCCTTGGAAAGATCCGGGAAGCATGGGAAAATATTGGCACCACGGGCTCACCTCACCCCAATGCAGATGTGCCCGAGTCTGGGTATGGCTTAGGCCTTGAGCAGTTTCAAAGCTTCTCAGGTGATCCCAGCATACAACCAGGTTTGGGAAGTAACTGTCCACACTATCCTGTGTCCAGTGTTGGGGGTTAACGTGTTTTAAACCCTCATGACTAAGTCAGATTTTCCTGCCTGGGATGCAGACAGATGCTTGGCCACATCATCAGATCCAGATGAGTTGGTTCACWGTATCCTGTGACTTTTTGTGTTGTTCTCTGGGCCCTCAGCAGACACGTCCTCATGGTGCTTGCCCTTGATGTGACTGGTGGGAAAACTCAACTGGTCAACCCACTTATCTCAACACAATTAAATAGTATTTTCCCCGACTCCCACAATTTACAAATCTCCTTTATCATACATGAGGATTCCTATCTGTAACAGAGTTTACGTTTGGACTCTMAGCTTCGGTTGATTCTGAAGACTGTGAAGTCCTCAGGTCACTGGGAGGGAGAGGGGGGATACAGCCTGTGCAAGGGGCCAGAGTTGGAAAGGGGCAGGTGGGTGGCACAGCTTTTCTCCTCAGGAGCACGGAACAACTCAAGTGCCCCTCACCCCTCTGTGCCTTGGTTGCTGGGAGGGGGGCAGGCTGGTACCTGTCCACTGTTGCTCGATGGCATAGATGTGTGCCTCGGTGAACTCCCAGGAACATGCCAGCTTCTTCCACTCCTGGGGCCGCAGATACCTGGAGGCCAGTCGCCACAGCACAGAGCGGAACTGCTGTGTTTCTTGCCGATGGTCCTGCTTAAAGGACAAGCTCTTCCCCGAGGAGTCATTGGGGTCCCTGCATGAAAGGTGGTCCTGTGGGTAGATCCCAAAAGWGAGGGGGTTTCCGTGCCAAGCTCCCTCTCGTGGTCTTGAATAGGAGTAACACAGGGCTGCAGCCCCAATTACCCTATGACCACCTCTGCTGAGGAGCCTGGAACTGGAGTCAGTGGGGCCTGAGGCTCAATGTCCCCTGGGGTCCTGAYGCCATGCCATGCCTTGGAACCCAAGGTGCTCGCACACTCCTTCCACCCAGAATTCGGTTTCTCTCCTCCCTGACCGTCAACCCCACTGCCATAGTCAAAAGAGCACTCCTGGGCCACCTCCTCCAGGAGGCCTTCCCAAATTCCTCTGGTCAGAAGCCTTTCTCTCTCAGTGCTTTTTGTTTGATTTGGTTTTTGATTTGTTTGTGTTTTGGGCCCTGTGCATGCTAAACAAGCCTTCTACCACTGAGCCACAGCCCCAGTCCCTTTTGGGGTTCTTATAGCATGTTTGTCAACAGAATGACTCAGAAGCTATGGCCAAAACCAGGCAGGCCAAGCATCAGGCTTAGCAAATCCCAGCAAATAGTGAAAGCTGGGGTTACAGGGTCCTTCCTAGGCAAAGCGGGTAATAACATTAGGGGTTACAAAAGAATTTGGAAATAGCATAAATTAAACCCACAAAAACCTAAAGCCCCCCTATAGGTAATGGATGTTGAGTTCTGGTTKTTTCAAAGTTCAAGGTGAAAAAAATTACCTGGCATTTGCAGCTCCAGATCTTGCATCCTGGTCAACCATCTGTGGCCAGTCACCTGGGAAGTGATGACCCAGGAGCCTGGTTCTCACAGGGTATTAAAAATTGTTTCTTAGGGGCTGGGGTGGWAGCTCAGTGGTAGAGCACTTGCCTAGCATGTGTGAGGCTCTGGGTTTGAGTCTCAGCACCACATATAAATAAATAAAATAAACATACATCAACAACTAAAAAAGAATTGTTTCTTAGGGCCTGGCATRGTGGTGCATACCTGCCATCCCAGTGGCTTGGGAGGCTGAGGCAGGAGAATCACARGCTCAAGGCCARCTTGGACAACTTAGTGAGACTCTGTCTCAAAATAAAATAAAAAGGACGGAGAGTGTGCTCAGTGGTAAAGYACTTGTCTAGCAAGCACTTGCCTTGGGTTYAATCTCCAGTACTTTGAAAAAAGTTCACATTAATTTCAAAAACTAAAGCAAATGCAAAAGTTTTCTATGTATGAAGACATCCCCAAGGACACCCAAAAAACTYCCCATTCCCTATTGGAACAGCCCATACGTGACCTTACATTCTGCTCCTCTGCTTCCCCCAGTCTATGGGGGATATCACCAATCATTTCCAGCACACTTTCCCTCTRGGTTCAGAAAGTCACCTAAACAAAATACCCTGCAATTTCAATCAYCCGGAGATGTCAGTGAGATGGAACCAACTTGCCATCTCCTTATTCACTCATGCAGTTCAGTCACGTGCATTCGCCAGGAGCTACTGCAGTGTCCAGCCTCAGGAGCACAGGCGTGGATCTCAGTCTCAGTGTGCCTGGGTGCAAAGCAGGGATTCTCACCCACTTGGAGACAGGGACCCCAGAACTGGCCAGGAYCCGAACTCAAAACCAGCTCTACCCAGAGCTGAGGCTGTTCTCTTCCCAACATAAGGAACCAGTGGAGCACGGGGCCYCCATACCTTCTCCCACCTGTAGAAACGGTCTGCTTTTATGATCATGTCCACCAGGTTGACGTGGTTGCTGCGGGCGGCCACTGCCAGGGCGGTTTTTCCTTGCTGCAAGCAAGAGGCAGAAGGGAAGTCCGAGTTTCCACAGGAGGGGTGCAGCGTGGCCTCTGCCACTGACTGTAAACAGCCTGTGAGCTGATGTTAACCCCAACCCCATTTTTTTTTTTTTAGTTGTAGATCGACACAATACCTTTATTTTATTTGTTTATTTTTTTATGTGGTGTCGGGGATTGTACCCAGTACCTCATGCATGCTAGGCAGGCACTCTACCACTGAGCCACAACCYTGGCCTCCCCAGCCCTATTTTTCAGATGAAGAAATCAGAGCCCCAAGAAGAGTGTGGGCTCATTGGTTCATGTTTGTTCACCCTCCTGCTGGTGCCAGCTCCTGTGCCCCAGGCCTTCCAGTCACCTCCAGGGACTCACAGTGGGATGGTAAATTGCTCTTGGCATCTGGCCAGCTTCCCTGGGGGCCCAGCTCAAAGCAGGGAGCCCTTTCCCAGGCCTAACCTGATCCTGGTCCCCAACTCTGACCCCACCACCCAGGCTGACCTTGCTGAGTGAGGTGTGCAAGTGCCCTCCCCTCATGCACCTGTGATCTCCAGCCTCATCCCAAGCCTTCAGCTCCTCAGAGACTTCCAATCACTGGAGGAAGTAGCCACCCACAGGCACAGTGTGCCAGGAAGTGTCCCCAAACCCTGGTGCACATGCAGAGGGTGCTGGGTGGTGATACAGTACTCCTGCTACTCCCCACAACCCCTCAAGGTGATTCAGGGAGTTCACCATCTGGTGGGGGCCAAGAGACAGAGAAACCATAGACCGCACCTGGGTGGAGGCTGAGGGACCTCAGAGGAGGGAGGGCAGGGAGTGGGAGGGCAGGAATGCTTTCTCAAGGAGGCTGCTTTAGAGCAGGGGAGGGGACTGAAGGAAAGAGACATTTGCAGCAGGGGCTCCAGCAAAGAAGGAGGCCKGCTCCGAGCAGAGGTACCTTATCTCTCAGGGTTAAGTCGACCCCAGCCACGAGGAGCATCTCTGCTATGTCCTGCCAGGCGTGCTCAGCGGCCAGGTGGAGGGGTGTCTGCTGCCTCTGGAGAAGCCAAGGGGACAGATGAGCAGAAAAGCAAGTATGGTGGCMTGCTGCTCAGTGCCAGGGCAGGACCAGGGTGGGACAGGCCCAAATGGGCCTTAACAAAGTTATGCTGTGGGGCGGGGGGTGGGGGTGAGCTGGGTTTAATCATAAACATAACAMTCCATAATGAGCCTGGTGAATTTCTAGTCCTTTTATATATTTGAGATCATCTTGTACATACACTCTCAATCTTATTTCTCCACCTACCATACTACTTGCCATGTATTATAAACTCTGATAAACACCATTTTTACTAAACTCTGTAATGGCCTATTTATGTCTGTACCATAATTTACCTAATCACTTCTCTATTATTAAATATTTGGGTCATTTTTAAATTGAGAATTAATAGTGAATAATGTTTTAAGTTGACTTTGAAGCAGGGGTGTGTGTGTGTGCAGAGATCAAGCCCAGAGCCTTCCTTGCACACGCTGAGGTACATCCCTATCCCTAAAAATAAAAGTCTCTGTGCATGAGCTTTTAATATATTCCTTGAGGCTYCATTCCCTGAAGGGCAAATGCAGATCTTTGCAAAGGTATATGACATAGTCTGCCAAACTGCTTCCCATTCTCCAGTGGTTGTGTGGGCTGGCACTGACTGTGATATRGTTGTGGGGGTGGTTGTGGGGACAGGGATTTAAAAGGGCTCCTTACAGATCATAACTTCAGGACTCAGGACTCTTGTTATATAAGAATGCCCCTTTCACCTATCCCCTGAGAATTTTCTCTAGGGAAAAGAAATCAATGAAAGTTGAAAAGAAATCCATGAGATGTTTACTGCAGCATTTTGTGTGTGTGTGTGTGTGTGTGTGTGTGTATGTACACATATATATAATACCTAATATTATATACAATATTATGTATGTTATATAATAGATAATATTATATGTACTACATATATAACATATACATATTTTATGTATGTGTATATAGATATAGATATAGATAAAATCTATCTCATAGTAAAAACTGGAAAACATCCAAAATGTTTAAAATAGAGAAATGGTTAATAAAATGATATGCTTTTAACAGATATTCAAACAACATTTTAAAAAAATGGTACTGGGGATTTAATCCAGGGGCACTTTACCACTGAGCAATATACATTCCCTTTTTATTTTCTTATTTTGAGACAGGGTCTTGCTAAGTTGCTTAGGGGCTCTCTAAGTTGTTGAGACTGACCTCAAACTTGTGATCCTTCTGCCTGAGCCTCCCAGGTCGCTGGGATTACAGGCATGTGCCACCACAACTCAGCATCAAACAACATTTTTAAAAGCTAAAAAGAGTAACAACTAAGGTTATCATTACATATAATTATAATGTACCAATAAAAATTRTGGGAAAATAAAATAAAATAGAAATAAAAGCTAAAAAGCAAATTTCTTTACTCTGGGCCACTCTGGGAACCATGGCCCAGCCCTGCCAACCTTAGAGAGCACCCAGAGGCTCCCTGGGCCTGGATGGTTTCTATAGACACTTACATTGTCGATGGCATCCAGGTTACTGTGGGCCTCAATGAGGAGCTGGACCAGGGCAGGGAAGTTGTGTCTCACAGCCAGGTGCACAGGAGAAGTACCCTGCTGTGGGAGGAGACACACGGATCAATGGATGTGWCCCTCCCAGGACCTGCCCTGCCCGGCTGCAGGTTGGGGCTGGGAGTCAGGAGCAGGGAGGGGTAGAGTGCTTCTGGGTTTGGCCCTTCTGGCATCTTAAACTACATTGGTGGTCTGAGGCAGTCACAGACCACCTGAATTCCTGAAGCCATTTGTAAAACTGGTCCTCAAAGTGAGTGAGGGTCTGCACATCCAAGATTGAGACTACTATGCCATCTTGGATGTGTGCTCACTAGGTGACACCGGACAAGCCATTTCCTGTCCTCTGCTATCTTCATCTGATAAGTGATCTTTGCTAAGGCCTCTTCTGGCAACACCACCTTCAGATTCTCTACCTTATTAATCCACATGTCTTGGAAGCACACAGGGATTAACCCACATGTCTCAGAAGCAYACATTCTTAATAGTTCTTCACCTTCAAATGGAAACAATGAGCTTCAGAAAACTTAAGCAACTTTCCCAAGAACACACAGCATGGGCCAGCATGTAGGCAAGTGCCTGATAACTATTTATGTATGAAATGAATGAATAAAAGAATCAGACAGGAACAAAAAAGAGACTTCATTCCAAGCCCAGTGCTCATCCAAGTCCTCTTTTGAGGCTGGGGAATATCATCCCCAGGGGTCCCCTTTAGTCCCCTGACTAAGTAACACAATGGAGACACTACCCCAACATCCCCCTCTCTAGGCAATGGAGTAACATACATACTGTGGAACAGTTCGAAGCCCGTGAAGATGATGGTATAGATCTATACTTATTGTGGAAATTTATGTTCATCTGTTCAGCATAAAAGAGTTATAGAACATATAAATGTATATATATATAATATATATATATATATATATATATATATATATATTACAGAATGCCCACTATTGTCAATACCAGTTTAGGCCAAGGTCAGGGGAAGGTTTTTTTCAGTATTAGAAAACAAGATTTTCACAATACCATCATTTGTAATAAACAAGGTGATTATCTATCTAGACAGGTTAAGATAGTTGCCCCTACTCTGCCCTAGTAGAATTAATTTTAAAAAGTTATCTAGAAGCCAGGAGCAGTGGCACACACCTGTAATCCCAGCGGCTTGGGAGACTGAGGCAGGAGGATTGCAAGTTCAAAGCCAGCCTCAGCCACTTAATGAGGCCCTAAGCAACTCAGTGAGGCCCTCTCTCTAAAGGACTGAGGACATGGCTCAGTGGTTAAGCACCCCTGGGTTCCATCCCAACTACCCCCCAAAATAATAATAATAATAATATAGAAGAGAAGAATATCCAAGTGAATAGCATTTAATATATTAAAGCCCACAAGAAATGACACAAATGTAAAAAGCTACCGTGTTCACAATGATGGGCAAACAATATGAAATGTCTATGAAGGGTATAACTGGAAATGATTAAGACTCATGTAAACCAGAAGTTACATAAAATCACTGAAGGATGTGAAGGTCATAAAGAAATAGCAAGACATCATTTTCCAAGTGAAAAAGTTAAATATTATAACGATGACCACTGTGTCATTATTTTCAGGTTTAATGTAATCCCAAACCCAGAATGTCAAGTGCCATGAAAAGAAAGTTTTAAAACCCAGGTAAAATTACTCTGAAACTTCAACCCGTCTCCTGAAATCATTTGCAGGTGAATGTGGTATCAAAATCAGGCCAAACAAAGGCCTGTGAGAGGGGATGAGCCCAGACTGGACAGTGGCCCAAGGGCAGGAGCCATCATGGTGGCTTCCCAGGAGGTGGCAGGCTAGAGATACCAAMACAAAATATGCTGGATACGCCTCGGTCTTCCAGGAAACATGTGGTGGGGAAGGAGAATGGTAAGAAAATACGCACAGCTTTTTCACTATTTTACATTTTGTCAATAAAATCCAAAAGAACCAAAAAGGACAAAAAGTCTTCCCAACTCATCACCCTTCTGCCCCATCCTCCCCACCCACCAACCCCACTGATAATCAGTCACTGCTTTTCTCAAGCAGGGGGCACTACTGGGGATTGAACCCAGGGGTACTTAACCTCTGARTTTCATCCCCAGCCCTCTTTATTTTTTATTTTGAGACAGGGCCTTGCTAAGTTGCTGAAGCTGGCTTTGATCTCACGGTCCTCCTTCCTCAGCCTTCCAAGTCGCTGGGGTTACAGGCATGTACCACCATGCCCAGCTCCAATGACTGCTTTTATCTGACTAATTCCAGAGATTTTTWAAGTATATATACAAGCAAAACCTTTTCTAATTCAAATTTAAAGTTTGAAACGATCGCAGATTCATATGCAATTAGAAAACAATACAGAGATATCTGGTGTGTGCTGTAGTCAGTTTCTCCAATGCTACTGTAAATATCCCAAGGAGGGTATTGACAAGATCAGAAAATCCACTGATATTTAGACTGCTCCAGTTTCACCTGTGTTTGTTGTGTGTTTACTTCCATGCAATTTTATCACCTGTGTAGGTTTCTATATCTGCCACACAGTCAAGACAAAGAACAGCTCATCACAAGGAGCCCTTATGTTGTCCTTGTATGACCCTTCTCCCTCCTCTACCTCACCCCTATCCCTAACCCCCAGCAACAAAAGCTGTTTATTTCTATTGTTTTCATTTCAAGAATGCTAAATACGTGGGCTGGGCATGGTGATACACACCTGTAGCCCCAGCAAATCAGGAGGCCGAGGCAGGAGGATCAGAAGTTCAAGGCCAGCTTCAGCAACTTAGTGAGACCCTAGCAACTTCATAAAAAAAGAAAGAAAAGAAAAGAAAAGAAAAGAAAGGAAGGAAGGAAGGAAGGAAGGAAGAAGGGCTGGGGATGTAGCTCAGTGGTAGAATGTCCCAGGGTTCAATCACCAGTAGCACTTACACCCAAAAAAAAAAAAAAAAGAAAAGTTGTAAAAGTAGAATCAGACAGACATAAACTTTGAGATTGACTTTTTTCACCCAACATAATTCCCTTGAGATCTATCCAAGTTGTTGCACATGTCAATAGTTTCTTCCTTTGCATTGCTGAATGTTAGGAGCCACAGCAAAAATATTGATACAGGC